TCGCGCGCCAATGATGCCCGATTGCTGGAACAGTGACCTCTGCCCAGCAGCTAACGCAAAATGCGTGTGTGTGTGTGTGTGTCTGGAGTTCGTGTATATATATATATATATATTATATATATATATATATTATATATGTATATATATACTTTACTATATATATATATAACACAGACACATATATATATATATATATATATATATATATATATATATATGTATATCTATATATAGATACATACTACACACACATATATATGTATATATATTTATACATGCCCATACATAACATACATACGTCCATGCAACCACACGTATACCACTTATGTATACATACATACGTCCAGGCACACACACATATATATATATATATATCTATATATATATATATATATATATATATATATATATATATATATGTATATATATATATATACATAGCCAGTGCGGACGCTCTTGGGCGGCCAATAATCAAAGATCTGTCTTTTCCTGTGTGCACGCCCGAGAGGCATTCAACAAGACCGCGGGTCCCTCACCTATGACCTGGGCGAGGGTTGAGACATTCACCGAAATTCTGCACAACGCCCATTTCTCCAAATGGGTAGCCTGGCCGACAGGCCAGAACCCCCCAAGGCTCATAAAACAAATCAAGACTATACACACATCATATCGGCTAGCTTTCGACCGTGCACTTGCTCGGATGTGTGGGCGATGACGGCGGCGGCGGCGGCAGCGAAGGAGGGGGGGTATTCGGCCGCCAAGCTGGTCCACTTCCGCCCGCCTGGAGCTGTGCCTGAGAGTTCTCTGTGCTGCACTCCCGTCCAGGAGTAGATTCCACTTCTACCGTTGCACTTGCGCATGGCCAGGGACAGCGAACTAACATTCCAACCTTGCATGCGTGTGGCTTTTTGCCGCCGGGAACGAGATTGACACATGTGACAGATCGAATGGGGGGCTGCTGTGGCCATGGGGAGCTTCTGGAGCCGGGGGGCGGCCCAAATTAAAGGGGTCTGCGGATTTTCTAGCAGAGCAGGCACCCCCATGACCAAACGCAGAGTTACGATCCTGCACGAGAAGTGGAAGGTCACATTGCCTATCTTGAGACGAGCAAATACGGTATCGCTCAAATCTGGGCGCCCCATTAGGGCCGCCGCGTCACGCAGAGGCTTGCGCAAGGCCCGGGTCCAGGTGGTGCACGGGGTTCCCAGGAGCACAGAGAAGACGAGGCCACACCTGAGCCATCCCGAAATGATTTCTTCGAACGCACCGTGCAAATGGTCCTCCAGGGATCCGTGCAAGACGTCTATGGACAGCGCGGCAAGGCCGACGGCCCTCCAGGCCTTGGCCACTCCCCCCAAACCGGCGAAGAGTTCCAAGAGAACTCCAACCTCCTGTATCGAGCCGATTTCAACTGACGCCTTAGCTCCCCCCCTCAGATGACGACGGACCTGGGCGGCCGAGGCTACGGTAGCCCGGCAGTGATCAGCGCCTGGAGGGGCGCCAGGAGCTGCTGCCACACGCGCGGGTGGTGCCGCGCGCTGGGCCCGAGCTCGACAATCTGCTGCAGGTTGGCGTGCGCGATCCGCCAGAACGTGAAGACCCAGTCCGGCACGCGAGTCATGGCCTTCTGCAGGTTAGCGACCTTCGCGTACCTCTTCATGCTGGCGGCCGCTGCCCAGCGGCCGTGCCTCTGGACCTTCTCCAGCGTGCGCCGCTTCTCCAACAGTCCCAGCTCGCCCCCCCGTGCTGCAGCGCGTGCAGCGTCGGGCTGAAGGCGTCCAGCTTCAGCAGGCCGGCGAACATCTTGAACTGCTCGCGCAGCGACGCCAGGGTGAGGTCCCAGAGGCTCTGCCCGGGGCCCACGACGCCCTTCGGCGCGCCGATCAGCGGCCAGAGGTGCCGGTCGAGGTCGACCACGACGCTCTACCTGTCTTCCCTGGGCGCCCCTCGCTCGTAGGGTGGAGCAGCAAGGCCCAGCTGCCCGCCGAGGCAGCCGCCTGCGCGGCGGGCCGCGCCAGCGAGACTCCGCGGAGCCCCTGCGCCTCGAAGGGCCTCAGGTAGCAGCTGAACGTGAGCAGGGTCCATATCGCCACGCGCCGCCTCCCGCTGATGGCCGGCAGGCTGGCCGGGGCCACGGCGGCGTAGTGCGGCAACGGTGCCCTGGTCATCGCGGGGACTCGCCGCTGCCACGCCGCTGAGCTCCTCGTGGCCCGGGGCAGCTGGGCCTTGCATGACCTCTGAGGGCCCGGCAAGAAGTGGGCAAGTGAAGCCAGGAGTGACGAACCTTGGCTCGCTGGCGCCCCCTGCGCGAGCCGGTAGTTCAGGAAGCCAGTGGCGACCTCGCCCAGCTGGTCGAGGCTTCTCCAGCCCAGGTGGTTCGCCAAGCAGAACGCCGCGAACTCCTGCAAGATCCTGCTGTACTGCTCCTCGATGCCGGGCTTCACTGCCGCCGTCTCCAGGGCGCTCGGCTGTCCCTGAACGGGCCTCTCGGTCATCAGCTTGGGCGCCAGCGCTGCCCGCCTCGCTCGGGCCTCCGCGGCCGCCAGCGCGGGCCGCCGCGCGGGTCGCCTCCAGACGAGCAGGGCGGCATGGGCGGCAGGCATCCGCCGCGCTGGCACGCTGCGAGGCCGGCGAGGCGGGCCGTGGCCGACCGCGGGGGTCCGAGAACAAGGAGCGGCGCCCTCGAGACAGGGCGTTCGCGGGATTGCGTTCTGACGGGATCCATCGGCAGTGCAGTCTGTCCCCGTGGCAAGTGGCATCATGCAAATCTTCAACAAAGGCAATTGTAGGTAGTTGGATGCTGCCCATCCTTTTGCGACGGCCAAGCACGAGGGCATATTGTCCACCAGGGCCAGCGCACGTTTCCCAAGGCAGGCTGAGGATCTCAAGAGGTGTTTGTAGGCGACTACGTGAGCGTCGGCTTCCAGCCCCAAGATGTTGACCCCCTCGTGGACCTGAGTAGCGATGACCCCTCCCCAAGCCTTGGCCTCCAAGAGCCCCGCTGGGACCCGTCGAACCCCAACTGCCTCTTCAAGGAGCCCTCGATGCCCAAGTCTTCCTCGGCCGCCGAAACGCCCTTGAAGTCCTGGAACGGGCCCTCGAAGGCGTCCGGCGAGCCCGAGACGTCTTGGTCGGTGTCCTGGATGTCGTCCGGCGTGCTCGGCGAAGCCGTCGATGTAGTATATGGGGCCGACTCCGACGGCGGCCAGGGAGGCCAAGCAGTGGAGGTGGGTCGGGGGGGCGCCGTGTCTCTCGCGCGCGCTCCGCCGGCCACTCGGTAGCGCCAGCGTTCGCACTGCCGTCCGCAACGAGCGATGAGGTCTACGGGCGCACGCCCCGAGGCCCTCCTCACTGGCGTCACTGGCAACCGGCCTCGACGCCAACGGAGCCGTCAGATCGGCCACCAGGAGCGGCAGCAGGCAACGCGCCCGCCAGAGCTCTGTGCGGACCGCCGTCCACAGCGTCTGCACCTCCGCGCCCGTCGAGACGATGAAGGCGCAGGTAGCCTTGAGCAGCCCGAGCGCCTCGCGCCTAACCATGGGCGCCCAGGTCAGATGGCCGACGAGGATGCGCGCATGGTGCCCCGAGGCGCGGCCGCGGCGCAAGAGCTCCTCGATGGCGTGTCGGAGCTTCCACGCCGAGCGCCCCTGGATGGCCAGCCAGCGCCCGCGCCGCAACTCCATGCCCAAGAAGCTGCAGCTGTCAGCGGCCTGCTCCGGAGTGTGCGCCCGCGGCCCGACGTCCTCCAGCATCGCCGTGACGCTGGCGAGGGCCTTGTCCGCCGTGGCCTCGTCCGAGCTGACCGCCAGATAGTTGTCGACGTGCGCGGCCACGACTGCCTGGCCCTCAGGCTGGGCCGCCGCGCCAGGCAGCCCGTCCTCGATGACGAGCTGGCGCGGCCCCCCCGCCCGATCGATGGCAGCGCGGAGCGCCAGTTGGCACGTGTACAGGGCCCACGAGAAGCCCATGGGCAGCGCGATGAAGCATGCCTGCGCGCGCGCCGCCAGCGGCAGCCCATCGACGCCCCCAGCCTCCAGGCGCTGGCGGTCGATGGGCGGCAGCCAAAAGTAGCTGCGGAGCCCGTCGGGCAGCGTCAGCAGATAGAACGCGTTGTCGACGTCCCCGGCCGCGACGACCACCCGGCCGCCAGGCCCCTCCAAATTGGCGAAGGCTGCTGCGCTCGCCAACGTGGTGGCGGGGGTCGGCGAAGTAGGCGTTCGCTGTGCGTGTATCGCAGATCAATCTCAGACGGCCGCTCTTTTTTGCCACGCAAAAGACTCCAACTGGCTTGATGCTGGGATCCCCCGCCTGGAAGCAGACCATCTTGCGCTTGAACATCTCAACGAACAAATCGCCGTAAGTGACGGGCGAGGAGGGGCGCGGGTCGACGTACGGCCCGCGAGGGCAAACCTGCTGCGAGAGCGCGACAGCCTCACCTCGGTCGCGCAGCATGCTCGAGCTCAAAGCCCTAAGCCACTGAGCGTCCAGGTCAGCGACCACGTCCGTGATGGGGACAGGGTCATCGGCCACGAGATCAGGTCCCGCGAGTAGGGCCGCCGCGGCCCCCCCGAGCTGTGAAGCGGGGGGCCGGCGAGGAGCTCGCTGCGAGCTCCGTCTTCAAAACCTTCACCATCGGGGAGCGACTCCAGGCTGCCGGACACGGACCAGGTGTGCTCGAGCGACGCCCGCTGACCTTCAGCAAGCCCGACGGTCGACGGCTGGACCCCAGGAGCGCGCGCAGCATTCATGACATCGATAGCGTCGTTGGGCCAGTCGCGCCCATGACCGGCGGCGCCGCGACGTCGTCGAGCGCGGCGGCTGCGCCCGAAAAGTGGGCCCACGGCCTGCTCTGCCAGGAACGGCAGCGGGGGGAGATCTCGCTGGCGCTCACCAGCACGAACGGCGCGAGGGGAGGAAGTCGGCTGGCCTGCAGCGAGTGCGGCGACAGGCAATGGGCAGGCCGGGGGGACGGGCGCCCATCTCCGACCCCCGCTCCGAGGTCACTTATCATCCTTGCCAGAGCCTTTATCGCCGTTGCCCTTCTTCTTGTTGCCGGACTTGCGGGCCAACTCGTGCTCCTCTCTGGCTTTTCTCTGCTCCTTGCGGTGCGCGTTCTGCTTGCGGAGCTCCTCCTTGCAAAACTCTTGCAATGCCGGGGCGACGCACGCGTTGCCGCGGAGCTGGTCCGTCCCCAGCAGGATGTGGGCGTTCTCATTCGGCGAGTCCACCGCCGGCGCCACCCTGTCACGATGGCGCTCCTCCTGGAGCTGCACAGCCCGGGCCAGCATCTCGCCCGAGGCGGGGTTCGCCACATTCAGCTGGTCGTGCACCACCATCCGCTCGAGGGTTCGGCAGGCCATCTCGTGCTCGTGGACGCTGGGCTCATGTCCGGCGAGCCGCATCTCCGAGAGCCACCTCGAATGGCGCCCGGTGGGAGTGCCCCCGTGCGCCTCCATGAACTTCAGCGTCCACAGCGCCGTGGCAGGGCCTCGGACAGGCCAGTCCTCCATGTTCATCACCGCTGTCCTGTAGTCCACGTGCCTCTGGACCTGCAGATCGAAGGAGACGGGCCTGATACGTGCGTCCGCGGGGGCCGCTCCCGCCGCGCCGGCTGGGGCCGCCGCTGCCGCCTGCTCCGCCTGCTCCGCCTGGCGCTGGCGCCCAATCAAGGGCGGGGGCGACGCCGCCGCCGCCGTTCCATCCGCGCCAGCAGGCGGCAGGGCCAAGGCAGCCGCGAACCCGCCCACGCCGCCGCCCGCGGCAGGCGCCGCCCCTGGCGCTGCCGGGGGGGCGATGGGGCTTGGCAACCAGCACTCCTGGGGCAGGAGCCGCGGCCGCGGCGGGCCGCCGCCGCTGGGTAGCCCCCGGCCGCCGGCGCGGGCGGCGGGGCGCCTCGAGGGCGCGCGGCACCGATGATGTTGGGCACCACCACCGTGCCCAGCGCCGGCACCGCCCCCATGCGTGACGCCGCGGCGGCGAGCACCTGGGCGACCCTCGCCAGCATGGGCACGCCACGGAAACCGTGCACGTAGAGCGCTGCGACCGCGACCAAATGCGCCCCCATGCGCCCGCCATCGCACGGCAGCCACCTCCGCACGTGGATGACTCCGAAGATGTCCTCCTCGTAACTATCGTCGTCGGGCGTGAGCGTGCAGACCAGAGTCTGCCCACTCGGGGCGAAGATCACCAGCCGCTCGTGCATCACATTCGGGTGCCCGACGTACTCCAGCAGGATGAAGCCCCCCGCTCGCAGGCCGTAGGCCTCGAGGGGGTGGGCCGCCGCCGCGGCCGCCATCGCGCCGTCAGCTGAAGCTTCCCAGCCCGCAGCGCCGCCGCCTGGGCCACCGCGACCTCCGCGAAGCTGGGCGGTGCAAGCGCTGCTGGGAGGCCCCTGAGCGCCGGCTCCGCCGGCGGCACAAGGCCCTGGGCGCCGGAGCCTGGCGGCGCTCGAGGGTCCAGCCGGCCAGCACCCCTGCGCCCGCGACCGCGAGCCCGGCGAGCATCCCCGCCTTCAGGCCCACGGGGCTGGGCTCGACCACCGTGCCGCCCGGGCAGGCCAGCCGCGGCTCGCACTGGCAGTGGCAAGCCGGGCAGGGCGCGCAGGGCGGGCACTGGGAGCCGACGGCGCCGCCCCACGCCGCAGCCCCTGCGGCGAAGCCTCGCACGGCCTCCAGCCCCACCGCCGCCGCCAGCTCGAGGGGCATGCAGGCCGAGCGCCTGGGAACCTTGAGACCCGGCTGGCCGAGGGGGCCTCGGAGGGGCATGCAGGCCGAGCGCCTGGGAACCTTGAGCGCGTGGGGCCGAGGCCGAGCGCCAGCTGGAGGGCCTCGGACCCTGAGAATGTCGGCCGCGGTGAACCACGGTGCGGCCGCCTGCTCGCTCCCTCTACGCTTCACGATGTGAAATCTCACACGTGTGTGTGTATATATATATATATATAATGTGTTTATTATATATATATACATATTTATATATACAACATCAGCGTGAACAGCAAACGCAAATCTCACCAACTTCCCTGTGGCAATATCCCTTTTTCCCCTGCTCGGGGGAGGGGTCCTTACTAATACCGGTAGCAAACCAAGAACAATGCCGACCCTATGCTCCCCACCGCCCAACCAGCCCTGACCACATACTTAATAAAACACAGCCGGCCCCAAAATTCGGAACCCGCGCAACCAACCCGATGCGGGTCCCCCTCACCATCCCTGTCAGACAACGGTGCAACATAAACTTTGTGGCGAAACGTTGAGTCATGCTCGTAAAGTCCGCGGGCATTTGGATTTTTTTGTTGATAAGTGGCAGCATATTGCCTGCTGTGCAGCAGAGCCACAACCCGTGTCAACAAACAATACAACATGCACCTCACTACTAAATCTGAATCGTGCGCGGCCACCTCGCGATCAGGGTCAAGTGGTTTTTGACAAGGGCGGCGGGGTAGTGGCGCATGGCCCGCTGTGTGCAAGCCTACCTGAGCATTGATTTTCGACAAGGGTGGTTGTGATGCCCGACACGCTTCCGATGTGTGCTCACGTGCGCAAGCGAATCAGACACACTCGGCACAATGGCCTGGACGTGGTGCACCTGGCGCGGCTGGAGGCACACCTGGAACACGTAGCGCATCTGGCGTACCAAGCGTGCCAGGCACGCTCGGGCCCCAGGGGTGCCGTGCGCGCGTCACGCCCCTGGCACGCGTGGCGCACTTCGCCCCAGCGTCGCGCACATGGGGTCGGTTTTGGCTCCCAATAACTGGCCACCCAAACACGACTGCGGAACATGCTGAGGGCCCGGGTGTTGCTTATGTGTAATGGGGGCGAATGGGAGTGAGCTGGACGGCTTGCTATCTAGGATGGTGTCTTGACCTCTCTCCCTCCCCCATTCCCCTGGGCCGCTAAGGGGGGCGAGGCGTTAGAACTCCCCAAATCGCCCAAGATGGCTCCAGCAGGGCCTCAGAGATCCAAAGGTGGCCTCCAAGATGGCTCAAGATAACTCAAGATGGCTCAATATAGCCGCCGACGCACATTCAAGAGGCCCCAAGACGGCCCCGAGATTGTTTCAAGTGCCCCCCGAACACTCTAAGGACAATCCAAGAGGCCAAACTGGGTCCAATACCTAAGAGCCATTGATGAATTTTGCCTTCTCGGCCTATCGGTTCCGATGGGCCTCGGAGGTTCCAAAATGGCCCAACGAAGCTTCGAAAAGGCAAAAGGGCATCAACACTGCCCAAATAGCGCTCCAATGACGGCCCCGGGGGGGCCTCAAAACAACGTTTTTGAGCCTGTGATGGGAGGGGCCTGAATCTGCTGCCCCTCTATTTTGGAGCCTCGGGGGGCGAGATTGCCACAAAATGCTTCACATACCATTCGAAAGAGCCCCAGGGCCCCAAGAGTGCCCCAAGTGACACAGCGAGAGCCCCAAAAGAGATCCACTAATGCTCCAAGAGGTCTTTGAGAAAACACATCAAAAGCGGCTGTTGCACTGCCTGCTTCTACCCTGATGAAAGTCACTCGCCTGGCGATTTGTTTCTGGATGGGCTGGTGGGGATTTTTTTTTCGGTCGCGTCCGCAAGCGAAGGCGCAGGCGGAGTCAGAAGCGGTCCAGGGCACGGAAACGGGCCTAATTATCTACTGGGAGCGCCGCAGGCCGGCCGGGCCAGCTCACCAAGCTCTGGTGGGGATGTTTTTTTTGGTTCGCGGCTCCAAGGCACATGCCATGGAGCGGACGCAGCGTCCGGGATGCGGCACGGAGCGAATTTGCGAACACAGCCACCACTATCGGCAGCCAGTTCGCACCTGCAAGACACGCTCGCAGTTGCACATGCACAGAACAAAATGAATTCAAGCCACTAGCAAACGCAAATGAGCGCAGCAGAGTGAGTCGCCGGTGCGGCGCCAGACTCCATGCTGACAGTGCGAAAGCGAGAGCGAGCGACCAGCACTCACGAATGCAAAAGGGGGCCTGTCTCACCGAACTTACTGACGCTACAAGGCAGCTGGACCACGTCGAAGCCTTCAGTAGAGGAACCACTGGTGTGCATTAGCGAGGTTGACCACCTTCAGCCGAAGCCAGTGCGCGCACACCGTATCCGACACACGCAGTTCGGGGGCGTAACGATGTGAAGTGCTGACACAAGCTGTGCAGATTGCTCTGCAAAGGGAACGACCGCGAACTGCAGAAGGCTGGACCACTCAAAGCGGGGCCGCTCCCAAGGCGAGGCCAAGCATCGGGCGTCGCCTGGTGTATGGCTATCGGCAACGCCCAACGCCTGCCTGCCGGAGCCAGTGCGTGCGCATCATCTCCGACACACGCCGTACGGGGGCGCAACGATGCGATGCCGGCGGGCTGGTGTCCAGGGCTGCGCTGAAGAGGCGACCACGGGCTGCAGGCTGAACCATCCACTTCGGGGTCGCACTCATCCAATGAACTGGCTGATCTGAGCGCCAACCGGTAGAGTAGACCACTGGTGTGCGTTCATGAGCTGAGCCATCTCCAGCGGGTAGCCAATGTATGCACATCGTACCCGACTCACGCAGTTCGGGGGAACAACGATGCGAGTACTGGCGAGATGGTGGCCTGGGCTGCTAGTCTGCGCCAAGAAGTGCGACACGACCTTGAACCGCGGAAGGCTGAACCACTCGATGCGGGGCCGCAAACTTGACGAAACCACAACCACAGCCACAGCCACTCCCCCCCACCGCGCCACCTGAGCAGCAGCCGGATGTCACCGCTGTCAGGGCAGATAGGTGGCTTCCAGCTGTCGAGCTTCGGGTATGCTGGCCACTGGCAGCGTGCTGTCAAACCACAACTTCCTTCTAGAAGAGAGGTGGTTGGGCCGGCGACGACGGTCGGGCGCTCATCAAAGGCCGTAGCATACTTCGCAACTGATTGGTGGGGGGCGCAGCCGAAAGCCGTATTAATTGTGAAGGAAGGAGGGGGAGCAGGAGGAGGGTAGAAAGAGGAGGAGGCGGCCGAACAGCAGGGTTGCTTCGGTCGCAGGCTGTTCGCTGACGTGCCAGGGTGACCGCTGAGGAACTGCTCCTCAGCGTCTGACGCCAACCTTGCGAAGCGTCAAGCATTTTGCGAAGAAGAATGTGGCACGCTCTGATGGCATTCGTACTACTAGTATCACCATCATCATTATTACTATCATTGCTATTCTTATGACTTATTACTATTACTGTTACTAATACTAATATGAGTATTCGCATTCGTATTCGTATTCGTGCTACTACTATTAACACTCACTTATGTGTCTGTTTACATACTTATATGTGTGTTTATGTATCTGTATATGTATATGTCTGTATATCGAATGTTTCCGCTTTTGGTGTACAAACCTCGCGGCAACACGCACAAATTACTTCACCAGAAATGCAGTCGTCTACAAAATGACCAACCAATGGCGCCTCTCCAAAACACCGCCGCACGGCCTGCAACTGCCACGCAACTGCTACGTAGGTGTGGGAATAACCACAAACGCGCCGGGAGAAGGGGGAAAGACACGATAAACAAACTTACCCGACTCGTAGCAAAACTCACAAAAAACGCGCAACCGAGGGGTCTGGCCACCAGACTACCGAAAGCATGACGAAAACGCCACTGCGAAAAGGGAAGAGAGCGAAGCGGAGAGGAAAGGAGCGAGAGAAGGAGGGAGGGGGGAAGGGGAGGAGGGGAAGCAGCCGCAGGCGACGCAAACGACAAAAGAGGGGGAGGAGGAGAAGCGAGAAAGAGAGCCGAACCCCACAAGTGGCAACGCGCCACGTTCGAACTGCGCTCCACGCGTATATGTATGTATGCAACTAGATGTGTGTGAGTGCATTTTTTTTTTGGTTTTGTATTGTATTTTTTGTGGTATTGTGTTTGTTCAATCTATATGTGTGTATATATATATATATATATATATATATATTCTGTTTTGTTATATATATATATGTATATAGCTCGCTCCTTACGCACGCTGACTCAAAACTTCGGTTTTGACGGCTTCATCATTTTTGTCTTCCATGGTATACTCTCGCGTGTTCCCGGGAACTGAAGCTCATCGTGGCATCTGTGCTGGGCGGACTAATGGGGATACGGGAGGCGTTAATATCTGCAATGCACCAGCCCGCTATTGCAACATGGTGTTCGCTGTGTATGTGCCGATGCCGGCCAGCCGTTCAATGCTGTGTATGTGCCGTTGCAGCATGGTGTTCGCTTTGCAGCATCGCAATGAACCAGCCAGCTATTGCTTGTCGATGCCGATGTGCGAGTCCTCCCGCTGGCTGCTTGGCCTTAGGTAATTTAGCGGGTTCGTTCTTTCAACCTCTCTGTTTTCCCCCGGGGAGGGGTTATCTTTCCACATACGCCCCCCGTGTGTGAACGGGAGGGGGGGGCGCGAGGGGTCAGATCGTCCAACATGGCCTGCAATGGGTCCAGATAGCCTGGTATGGCGTCCAATGTGGCTTCCATCATGCCGCCACGAGCCGCCAAGACCCCCCCCCGAACGGCCAAGTGGACACGTGGTGTTCCAACGGCGGCCACTGGAGGATACCCACATTCCAAGGCTGTGTAAACATCAAGTGTTCAAGCTTCGCGTTTCAGATGGGCTTTTAGATGCCAGCATCTATCCAACATCGAAGGAGCGCTTAAGACTTTGTATTCTAGACTACTTGCTTCCGATGGTTCCTGTTGCCTCAAGGCGGCTCCAGGTTCGCCCAAAAGAGCTTCAAGAGGGGCCCCAACATGGTTCCAAAACGGCCCCATAAGCGGCCCAGGGGCGTCCTGAGAGGGCTCGAAGATAGGATTTTCAAGGGTCAACAAGGGCTTCATCGATGTACTCCAAACAAGTTCCACGGCTACCGAGCTGAAAGGCTGTCCTGTACGACACGAGACGCCCGAATGCAATGCGCAAGCGCGGTACATTTTTCTGAAACGCCAGTTCACGTGATTCACCAGGGGGCTGCAGCTTGTAAGCAAGAGTTTTATATCAGCAGCGGGTCGGCGACAACACCCTGCATCACAAAATCTTCTTGACCACAACACCGACATTACGGCATCTCCGGACAACCACGTATTACTGCGGGGGCGCCGACTCGAATATATAATTTGCGTGACCGCCCATAACGTGCGGAATATTAACACACACTGAGCGGATACGAAGTACCGTGTAGCATGCTTCCTCTAAGCGCCAAGCAATACAAGCAAATGGCCAGAGTACACGAACTGGTCTTGGCCAGCCGCGCGAGGCAAGAGGAGCCGACCAAAGTTCGAACAAATGCGTCAATTCAATAATTTTGAATATTCGCTAGCACTGAAGCGGGCACGAGGACAATACGGACTGATGGATTTACACGGGCTGCTGGAAAACGCACTGGCACAAACTGAATCGACCAAGGGGGGCAAAGCGGAACAACAAAACAGTAGTGAGCAGGACTCACAAGACCGATGGGCGTGGTGGTGCTGACGCGACCGGCGTTGTCAAGGACTGGCGGGACAGACAGGGCGGTAGAAGCACGGCGGCATACAAGACGCACAGGCGGATATCTGAATACACAGACAATCGTGTTTACGGATGCCGCCCGTGAATTGCCGAGCCAACGTAAGGTTTCGTCAATGCCGCCTGGTAAGGTTCGCTCCCTCCGCGTGCCTGCCTCCTCTCCTTCACTCTCTTCCTGAGTCTCTGCTCCTCCGCCTTCGTCTCCTCCTCCTCCACTTCGCCGCCACCACCCTGCGAGGGCGCATCGCCTGCTTGTGCCCTTCCTTACCTGCCTTCTCGAACAGCTCGAGCGCCTTCACCTCGTGGCAAGCGCGATCATAGGTTCATTGATCGACCAGGTCATAGCACAAACACGCGGGTGAGCCAATGCGTCCGAGCAAAGGCGAATATATTAGCAATGCAGCCAGAGCGTGGCACGATATGGTTGTACCGCATTCGTCTTGTGGGACATGGCCATGTTTTGTCAAAGGGACGCTGATACGGAGCCAGTATAGGAAACATAGGCGTGGAAACACGCATGCGCTGCACATAGGGGTGGCCTTGTCAACTTCTCCCGTCTCGCCCAAGTAGTACATGGCCGCCAAGTTATTTGTCGCCTGGCGTGCTGGGGTCAGAAAGGCCGCGAAGGAAGCAAGGCTGAAGGAACATTCCTGCAACTGTGCTTTGCAGCGGCTGGTGTGTCGGGCCTCCGCGTTATGATTTGTTTACTGAGCTGCTTCTTCGCACAAGGCGAGAACAACTGTTAGAACCTGATCCGGAAACGCATAGAGCGCAACGCAAACCACAGCTCTGGACCCAAGCCAGTCGCTTTGTTGTAAACAACAACCCAAAGGAGAACCCCAAACAACCCACTAATACTCTGGGTGAGTGGTTCATCCCTTCCCCCACCACTGCCTTGCCTCCCTGGAAGGAGAGGAGGAGGAGGAGGAGGAGGAGGAGGAGGAGGAGGAGGAGGAGGAGGAGGAGGAGGAGGAGGAGGAGGAGGAGGAGGAGGAGGAGGAGGAGGAGGAGGAGGAGGGAGGGAGGAGGGGGAGGAGAAGGAGGAAGAGGAGATGAGGAGGAAGAGGAGGATGATGATGAAGAGGAGGAGGAGGAGGCGGAGGAGGAGGACGAGGCGGAGGAGGAGGAGGAGGAGGAGGAGGAGGAGGAGGAGGAGGAGGGGGAGGAGGCGATGAAAGGAAGGACCAGGACTCCTGAACTTTTACCCTCATTCCGAAGCAGTGCTTCGCGACAAAAGCCAACGATCTCTTTTCCAAGTGGTCATCGCCACAATTTAGGCGCACCAATAAAACGGCTAGACAGCCATCACGATACCAGGCCACGCAACCCTGAAGCCGTCATCCCAGGAAAACATGATAAGTCCAACTAGCACTATAACCATTCCCTCCTCGGTTGAATGAACATCATGCAATGTACGCATTATATGCCTGTTCCTCCTCCTCCTCCTCCTGCTTCTCCTTTTCCGCCTCATCAGTCCCTTGGCTTTCTCCTCCTCCTCCTCCTCCTCCTCCTCCCATCTCCGTTCCCCCTCCTCCTCCTCGTCGTCCTCGTCCTTCTCCTCCTTGTGATTCTCCTCTTCGTCCTCCTCTTGGCTCTTTTTCTTCTCTTTCTTCCCTTTGGCCACCTTCTCCTCATGATGTTCTTGCTCCTGCTGGTCGCCTTCCTCCTCCTACAAGACCATGGGGCTCATCGAAAAGACCTTCAGCAATACTTTACCAGTGTAGTGAGAAAAGGCCAGGCCGTGGGCGCCGGAACAGAGGAAAGGCCAACACAGAGGTGAATATGGGGGAATGGGGCTGCGTGGATATATATATATATATACATACATATGCATACACACATATATATATATATGTATTGATATACTTATTTATTTAAGGACATATATATGTAAGAAGAGAGAGAGAGAGAGAGAGAGAGAGAGAGAGAGAGAGAGAGAGAGCGAGAGAAAGAGATAGACACATACAAAGCGATAGAGAGAAGCAGAGATGCTGACAGAGAGAGACGAGAGAAGCAGAGACAATGACATAGAGGGAGAGATAGCGAAAGAGAGAGAGAGAGAGAGAGAGAGAGGGAGAGCACGGAAAGACCACAACGCGAAGGGCAAAACGATTTGTCGACCAACGAGATCGGAAGATCCCGTCGCGCACGTGGTACCCGGACCCCGAAGCTGTGCTCGCCTCGCGGGCCCCTGAGCAGCCCCGAGACGACAGCAGGGCCCACCCGCGCTGGGCGGGCTCGTGCGCCGGGGGCCCCCCGCGACCGCAGCCCGAGGCGCCCAGAGCTGCGCGCTCGCGGGCAGTCTCCGGAGGAGGAGATTGGGCGCCCGAGTTACCCCTGATGATTTGGGGCTCTGGACGCCCGACTTATCCGGGGTAGCTCGGGCCCGGGGTAACTCGGGTTCGGAATCCCGAAAAAAACGAACCCGAGTTAGCCCTGATCCCGAGTTGCTCCTGATGAGTCGGGGCTCTGAGGAGACCCCTCCAGCCTGGACAGCGTGAGGCGCGACGGCGGCTGCCTTCGCGCCCCGCGGGTGGTTCAGATCCGAGCGCCGCTGCCGGTCGGGAGCTTTTGCTCAGCGTGTCGCGGCGGCTCGGAGGACCAGCTGAGGCAAGGGTCGCCGCTTCGGCCCTCGGGGGGCTGGCTCCCCGTCGCCGCTGCTGGGCTCAGCTCGGGAAACTGGTGCGTTTGGGCCCTGGGAGGGGTCCGGGGACTGATTTTGAGCGGATTTGGGCCGCCGTTGTCTCACCGCCGTTACCTCAAGCGGCCCTCCTCTGAGCGGCGACTTGGGCGACACGCTGTGCCCTGCACGCTGATAACGTGTCGCTCCGCTCCGCGGAGCGGGATGTTGACGCTCTGGGGCCGGGAAACGGTTTGGGTGTCTCGTGGTGGGCCAGAATCGGCAGAGCGACATACTAAGCACACGTTTCTCGACCCCACGATGAACAACGAAGATATTTGACATTTTATTTTTTAGTGAACGCCGAAGCAAGATGCTTGGACATTCGCTTAAGATGCAAAACACCTGGCCACACTGGCCGACCTACCCACCCAGGCAGGGATACAAGCTGCTCCCTTCGGGCTTCGTGGGGCCTATCCCCACCTGGCGTGGGCGGGCTGGTGGGGCTGAGATACCATGGCAAACTATCGGGCGCACGCTACAATGGTACTACAGTGGGTTATCTACGGATGCGTGGGTCTGGCGCGTGGGCGCCAGATCCACGGGTCGGGGAAAATAGCCCTCCCGAAACGTGATGCCAATGCCGCTTGATTTGGCGACTGAGTGCGCCGATTCTGGGTGGTGGATTTATTTTGCGGGGGGATCGGAGGGGGGAATGTGGGTCTCAGCCGATAGGTGCAATCGGTACTACCGATCTCACTACCGATCCCAATCCGTGACCATGGAGCCCCCTCAGTGGCATTGGCCCCGCTATCGGACATAACGCCCAGGTAGATATTGAAGCATTGGGGGGTCGCGGCCGCAGCATTGGCCATGGAGGCTCGTTAGTGGCGCATGTGGGGGCCTAGTGGCAGCTCAGTGAGGGCTCTTTGAGGGCGCGCTGGCGATGCGGTTCGGCGAAGGCTTGAGACACCTGCGCTTCGGCAAAGGCTTGAGACACCGATCGATAACCAAATGGGGACCACCGCGCTGCCATGCTAAGCGTTGCGTTGCATTGACGCGTTGGAAGGACGCCAGCGCAGACCAGTACTTCGAGCTGATGGCACCAGGCACCAGGGAGCATGCCACACAATGTTTGGAACAAGGCGGGCTAATCCTCGTGCCTTAATCAATATTTGCGCTGCCTCGACGCTTGCATGGCCTTGGCCCCACTGGCCGACCTACCCCCCTAGGCGGGGATATATGCTGTTCCCTTCGGGCTTCGTAGGTCTGAGATGCCATAAGACGAAGAAAAACTGCATAGGCCTAAATTTCGGAGGTCCGTGCGATTTTTTTGGATCGGCGCTGGCCTCTCCTTGATGGTGCGTGAAGCGCCAGGGCCAGCGTCCGTGGCGGTTCCTGCTGGCATCTCTTTTGCGCCCAACAAGCTTCTGACACGTGCGGTTGTGCCTTCTCCGAGAGTCTATATTGATGCCGTTTTTCTGCTTCAAGCCGTGGCCCAATGGGTAACTATGGGAATCGGGTAGACGATGCCGAAGATCGTGCTCGTCCGAACGACCCGAGGAGGACGTCATCTGCGCTCGACCGGGCGCGGGTTGCGGGGAGCAACTCCGTGGCTCCTGGCCTCCACGTGGCCTCTCACGGCGGCCTCGGTGTACCACTTCTTGGCGCCGGCCTTGTCCTCTGGGATGCCCTGGTCCCTGCGCGTGCGTGCGAGGAGGAGTATATTGTGAGGAGGAAGACGAGGAGGCGGAGGGAGGGGGGGGGGGAGGATGAGGATAAGGATATGAGGAAGTATGAGGAGGGTGATCATAGGACGAGGAGGAGGACGATGAGGAGACCGGATGAGGATGAGGATGCGGATGAGGATGAGGAGGAGGAAATGAATATGGTGAGGGTGGGGAGGAGGATAGGAGGAAGTATGAGGATGTGGAGGAGGCAGATGATAGGAGGATGGAAGAGGAGAAGGAGGAGGAGGAGGAGAAGGAGGAGGGGGAAGGAGGAGGAGGGGCAGGAGGGAGGAGGAGGAGGAGGAGGAGGAGGAGGAGGAGCAGGAGGAGGAGGAGGAGGAGGAGGAGGAGGAGAAGGAAAGGGAGGAGGAGGAATGGGGAGGAGGAGAAAGGGGAGGAAGACTGTCTGACTGACGCGCCTTAAGACGGTGGGATCCGCGAACTATACTGAAGTCAGTCAATCCAAAGGCTTCATGCAACACTTACCGAATACGAAAGTTAATCAGCGACAATATGGTCCCACGCAAGGTCTTCGGGTCACGGGTGGCCTGAGGGCTGAAGCTCGTGGTCCACCAAGTCTGGTCTCACCTGTTTACACGACCCCGAGACGACCTCGACTCGTGAAGGTCTTTGAGGAAATGAAGGCTGGGCTGTCCCAAGTTCTTCTGACCCTGGTGGCCCAAGCATGGCCCTGCTCAGCCACAACTAGGATTTCCATGCTGGTGGGGTGCCGCTTCGGATGATCGGGCCAACTAAGCAGAGACTGGCACTGGACTCTCGACCATTGCTGGACCGGGAAAGTTCTCGACCAGCGCGCCATGTATTGGTCGGCAGACTCTTCGGGCCGCCTCGGAGATTTGAGCATCCAGGCCCTCAAGGTGTGTTGGGCCCCGTCGAGACGCTCGGCAATTGTTCGAGCCATCGTCCAAGCCGAGGCACGAGGCATGATGACGCAGAATCGAGATCGCAATATTATCGAGCCGCATGGCCGGGACTGTACAAGGGATCAGGGCATTCTCTAGAAAATTAGCGTTCTTGAACTACACCTTCCTCATGTCCCGAATCGATCTACTGACGGCGGATGTGCTACACCCCGTGCAGGCTGTAGTAGGTCCGAATAGGCGAGTCTCAGGCCTAAGTTTCCAGTATAATGGGTCCGAATAAGCGAGTCTCAGGCTTAAGTTTCCAGCTCTTGCTATCCTCGCCATCAGGTGGCTGCTGGATACCATGCGGCCGCTGCTTTGATGATCTTTTTGCTGTTACCTTTTAAAGTGAGCCGTTAGCTCTGATCCGAAGACCACCATCATTTGCATCACCATCTGCGTCGACTTGCCGAAGCTGTACACGTTATCTGACCACGAATCGAAATACACCCTCCTCCCAGACAGACTTATGCCCGCTTGAACCTTGCCCCAGCGCTCTACGCACACCAAGACTATACCTTCGACCCCATACTTTCGCTGGTAAGGATCCCGTCCCAACCCATGTGTGTAGCCCTCTCATCCTTCTCACCAGTTCGTCCGTGGCGCTCCCGGTGCATATAGACGAGTCCCCTGGACGAGCGTGCATGCGTGCAAGCGCGGCGGCGACATCAGTCGAGACTCCCCTCCCCACAAGACCATGAGCGACACGAGCAATACGAACCGAGCCATGATGTGCCCCTGTGTCAGCGATTGCGGAGAATACCTCAAGACGAGGAGGATGAGGAGGAGGAGGAGGAGGAAGAGAATGATGAATAGGAGGAGGAGGAGGAGGAGGAGGAGGAGAAGGAGGAGGAGGAGGAAGAGGAGGAGGAGGAGGAGGAGGGGAGGAGGGAGGGAGAGAGGGAGGGAGGAGGGATGAGGAGCAGGAGGAGGGAGGAGGAGCAGGGGGCAGGTGGGAGGGAGAAGGTAGGAGGGAGGAGGGGAGGAGGAGGGAGAAGGGAGGAGGGAGGGGGAGGACGGAGGGGGGAGGAGGGAGGAGGGAGGAGGGAGGAGGAGCAGGGAGGGAGGGAGGAGGGGAGGAGGGAGGAGGAGGGAGGGGGAGGGGAAGGAGGAGGAGGAAAGGAGGAGGAGGAGGAGGAGGAGGAGGAGGAGGAGGAGGAGGAGGAGGAGGAGGAGGAGGAGGAGAAGGGGGAGGAGGAGGAGGAGGAGGGAGGGGGGGAGGAGAAAGAGGAGGAGAGGGGAGGAGAAGGAGGAGGTGGAGGAGGAGAAGGAGGAGGGGAAGGAGGAGGAGGAGGAGGAGGGGAGGAGGAGGAGGAGGAGGAGGAGGAGGAGGAGGAGGAGGAGGAGGAGGAGGAGGAGAGGAGGAGGAGGAGGAGAGTAGGAGTAGGAGGAGGAGGAGGAGGAGGAGGAGGAGGAGAGGAGGAGGAGGAGGAAGGAGGAAGGGGAGGAAGAGGAGGAGGAGGAGGAGGAGGAGGAGGAGGGGAGGAGGAGGAGGAGGAGGAGGAGGAGGAGGAGAGGAGGAGGAGGAGGAGGAGGAGGAGGAGGAGGAGGAGGAGGAGGGAGGAGGAGGAGGAGGAGGGAGGAGGAGGGGGAAGAGAAGGAGGAGGAGGAGGGGGGAGGAGGGAGGAGGAGCGGCAGCAACTGCACGCGGGAGGGCAGACGCAAGGAGCGGCAAGCGAGCGACCACGGCATCCGATGCGCCGCCGCGTCCTGGCCACGGCCGCCGCGGCCCGCGTGCCCGCTCGGCCGACGAAGGGCACGGGCGAGGTCGAAGCGCAACACGGGCGGCAGTGAGGAAGCGGCAGATGTCGCCGCGCCGTTCGTTCTCGAAGTCGGCGCCGCGGCAAACCTCACTGCGAACCTTGCGTCCGAAGTGAAACTTGCCCTGGTGCCAGAGGCACCCTCTCAAAGACGGAAGGCCGCGCGCCGGAATCAACGGCGCGGCGACAGATGAGGGGAGCAGTGAGGAGGAAAGGGAGGCTTCAGGAGGGTTCGGGACGTCTCCAGAAGGGGGGGGCCAAAGGAGGACGTATCCTCCTGGTCCTCCTCCTCGTCCTCCTCTTCGTCTTCCTCCTCCTCCTCCTCCTCCTCCTCCTCCTCCTCCTCCTCCTCCTCCTCCCCTCCTCCCCCCTCCCCTGGACGCGGTCGTGGCGGTGGTGGTGGTGGTCGCCGTTGCCGCCGTCGCCAAGTGGGGGGGAGCAGGATGGGGAAACTCCTCCAAGTCGAGAATGATGGCCCCATCCTTGAGCACATAATGAAGAGTCACCAGAGGATGGCTGCGCCACATCGCGAGGCGGAGGAGCGCATTGCCTCCGCCGAATCATGTGCGAGCCCGCGCGCAGCACTCGAAACACGCAGTGAAACGAGGAGTCTGGGAAGACGAAGCGAGGCGATCTGGGGAGCAGGATGAGAAGTCGGATGAAGAGGAGGAGGAGGAGGGGGAGGGGGAGGAGGAGGAGGAGGAGGAGGACCAAGACACTGTCATCAACCTGTGGAGATCGATCGACCTGTGGAGATCGACCCCGAACTTGAGATTGCCGATCTCCAGAATCTGTGCATTGCTCTGGGGGCAAAGGCTGAGATTCGGGGGCGCCGAAGAGGGGGGGCTGTCGCATCGTGGCCCGGGGCATGTGCGCGGAGGCCAGGGGGCCAGACGGCGTGCCCAAGTAATAAAAACAATATTCAGAAGAAGGATAAGTAACAACAATACTTCATAAAATAATAATCATACAAATATTAATACTAAGACTAATGATAATATCAATCATACTAGTATTATTCATAACACTACTACTAATAATACTAATAAAACGGAAAATACTAATAACAAAAATAATAATAAAAATAATAAAGGGATCATAACATCTGAGAGATTTCATGGCCCCGGCCATGATCTCCAATTTCCCGTAGTCCTCACTCCCCTTTTGCGCGCCGCGGACTGAGACGGCTGCGAGACGCCTCGACGGGTTTAGAGGCGGCCCCTTGTAGCCGCAAAGCGTCCCCTGCATTGTTCTAACCAGCGCCAGAGAGGCCGCTCCGATGGCCTCCAAGATGTGCTCTTGGCCAGGCCAAGGAACAATTTGCGCGCTCTTGGTGTGCCTATCACGTGCAGGAGCTTCTCGGAAGAGCGTTGGCCCAAAAGGCCACCCAGAAGCTGGACAAAAACACTTCTGGAGGCTTCTGGGGCTTGCGGGGTCTGTGGAGGTCTCGGGACGCCTCCGGAGGGGGTGTCAGAGGAGAAAATCTCCTCCTCCTCCTCCTCCTCCTGCCCCCTCCTCTCCCCTTCTCTCCCTCCCCATCCCCTCCTCCCCTTGTCGTCGTCGTCGTCGTCGTCGTCGTGAAAGTCACGATAACGGTTGTCGTCATCGCTGTCGCCGCCGCCGTGCCGCTGCACGGGTCACCATTCCGCCATAAACTCTTGCACGGCCCCAGGTTGGGCCAACTTTTCCTTGACGGTGGCAAGTGGGGTGGCAGGAATGGCGGTCCGAATTTATGGGGACGGAGGCGCGCACCACATCGCCGATACATCGCCAATGTACTGGCGCCGTCGGGGCGGAGGAGATCGGACCCCAGATCGCACCGCATCGCCGATACATCGGTGATGCGGCCTGATCCTCCGAAGCCATCTGCTCGGGGGCGCCCAAGAGGGGGGCGTCCGAGAGAGGGGGTTCGCGAAACATGGCCCGAGGCGCGTACGCGGCGAAGGGGGGGGGGGCGAGGGACGTGCTGAAATATGATGAGGGGGGTCAGCACCCTTGGGCAGATCTCGTGGCCCCGGCCGTGATCTCCCCCCACCTGGTCAGCCCCCCCCCTCTTGGCCGCCCCCGTGTCTTCTCTGGCCCCGCTTGGGAGGCCTCGCCTGGACCAGCCTTTCCCCTCGAGCCTTCTCGTTGACGGCCCCGGGGACCGGCGAGGGACCCCAGAAGCCGAAACTTCCCCCCCCCCGTCGTGAGTCACGATAACGGTTGTCGTCATCGCTGTCGCCGCCGCCGTGCCGCTGCACGGGTCACCATTCCGCCATAAACTCTTGCACGGCCCCAGGTTGGGCCAACTTTTCCTTGACGGTGGCAAGTGGGGTGGCAGGACTGGCGGTCCGAATTTATGGGGTCGGAGGCGCGCACCACATCGCCAATGTACTTCCCCCCCCCGTCGTGATTCTTCAACGACGCGAGCACGTCCGGGGCCCCGGTGGTCTTCGGGCCAGAAGCCGGGCCTCTGGCGGCCGCTCGGGGCGATCCTGGCCCCCCTGGAGTGCCCTCGGCGGGGCGCAGCCGCCGGAAGGCATCCCGAGGCTGGGAAGCCGTCGAGGACAGACGAAAACGCCTCAACACCTCCTCCTCCTCCTCCTCCTCCTCCTTTTCCTCCTCCTCCTCCTCCTCCTTCGAGCCTCGAGCATGTCTGGGCTCTGGCCCCTCGTGTGAGGCCTGGAAGGGGAGGTGCAGAGCCAGCACACTGGCCCGGGCTGGCCCGGGCTGGCAAGCGGTGCGACGGGGGGGGGGGCGGCTCGCGGGGGGGCGTCGCCCGTCGAGCAGCACGGCGAGGGCGAAAGCGGCCTCCGGGAAGCCCTGCTCCGCCGCCTCCGTGGAGGCGGGGGGGGCGAGAAGGATCGAGGAGAGAGGAGGGGAGGATCGAGGGGGATCGAGGAGGGTCGAGAGGAAGGGAGGATCGAGAGGAAGGGAGGATGGAGGATCTGGATTGCGGCACCGATGAAGCAGAAAGCCTGTCAGCAGAAGGCGGCGCTGCAACTAGCAGAATATTCAGCCCAACTGTAGAAAGTCTTGCGCGGGCACCAGGTAAGCAAGAGCAGTGCAGTGAACAGTAGAGAACACTTCGGTGGCCAGGAAGCAAGGCACAATTGAGGAGGGAGGGGGAGGATCCATCCTCCCTCCCTCCCTGCCTCCTTCCCTCCTTCCCTCCCTCCCTCCCTCCCTCCTCTCTCCCTCCTCCATCCTCCGCCCTGCCCGTGGTCGGGGGCTCCTGGGTTGGTCGGCCTCCTGCGTGGCGGCGGAGCGGACTAGGCACCCCGCGGACACACCCCATGGTGGCCTCGCCCGCCACCATGGGTGTATTCGGGCTGGAGCTTCGCGGCTTCCCTCCTGGTGCCAGACATTTTCCGTATTCCATTCTTCTGGATCGGGGGGCCGCTTCTGGGCCGCGCGGCCACAAAAAGACGGCTAGGGATTTCAGATCCTTGGCGACTCGAACCAATTCTGGTATTTGGTAGGCTTTTCGTTTTCGCTTCGTAGGGAGGGTCGAAGCGATAGTGGCATTTCTTCCTCGGTGGACGCGCACGATCCCAAACATTTCCTTTTGGTCGGAGGGCTGTTTCCGGGCCGCGGGGCCGCAGCAAGAACGGCTCGCTGAGAGTCCCCGGGGCTGGTGACCCTGGAGAAGCGGGCCGTCGGAGTTCTGGGAAGGGAGGATATATAGGGAAGCAGTGATGGGGAGAGGAGGGGAAAAACGAGAGGGGGGGGGGGGTAGGAAGGAGCGCGGGACATCTTAGGATCGTGCGCAGCACACCAGACCATGCCAGAAGGCCACACACGCGCAACGAGTGGCCTTGAAGCGCGCGCTGTAAGCAAACGTCGCCAGCCATATGAGAGAACTTCTGCTTTGTGTCTGTGGTGGTATAACGTGCTATGCTACCGCCGTCTACGATGATGTAGGGCAAACCGAGGCGCTGTGATCAGATCTTGTATGGATGTAGTGCTGGCCAACTCGGGCCGATGCGAACTTGGCCGACGAACATTGAACTGTGCGAAAGCGACATGTTACGCATTCTTGGTTCAACACATGAACAGAGTCGCAACACAATAAGCCGACGGGTTAGTCGTCCGACGAGGGCCTATGCGAACTCAGTCGAAGGCAACGCCGCACCGACGCATGGCACGCCGTGAGAGTTGCCCAGGGCGGGCGCGCCCCCAAATACCGTCGAGCGGTGGACCCCAAGAGGGCCCTAAAATGGCCCAGTGAGGGCCCAAGAACTCCTCGACCGGCCAACGACCCCGTTAAGAATGCTCCACGGCAGCCCAGATATCCGTCCAGGCGGCCCCAAAAATCTCCAGCCGAGCCTCTTCAGGGGGAGAGCTCGGAAGAGCCGTCGTGCCCGGCGGCCGCCAAAAGCTTCCACAGCGAGCCTGCAAGGAAGGGGCCAAGAGCATCTCAGGCTCGATATCGTCAGCTGTTGTGCTGTTCGAGAGATACCGTCGTCGCAGCGCACTCCCCGGGGACACTGCGACGCTTCCAGGGAGCCTCCCACCCAGCCTCTGGGGCTGGGCCCTCCACCTGCCCCCCCCCTCCCTCGAACCCCCCTCCCTACCCTCGCCATCCCTCCCGTCCCCCTCCCCCTCCCCCTTCCCCCTCCCCCTTCCCCCTCCTCCCCCTCCCCTTCCCGTCCCCTTCCCCTTCCCTCCCTTCTCCTCCCCTTCCCCTCCTCCTCGCCCCTTTCCCCCCCCCTCCCTTCCCCCTCTCCTCTCCCCATCCCTCGCCTCCCCCCCTTCGCGCACGGGCTTCTTGAGAGGCCCTTGGCAGCGCCCGCGCACGCGCGGAGAACGGCGCGACCTCCGCGAGCCCAGAAGCCTGGCGCCGCTCGAGCGGCCGCGAGCTCGCGCCACGGTGCCGCGGCTGGCGCGCGGAGGCCACCCAGGCTTGCAGCCCGTGGGGCCGCCGCCGCCACGGCTCGGGCGCCCAGCTCGCCCTCTGCAAGCGCTGCCTCCTCCGCGTGTTGGGCCCTGACAGAATGAGGACAGGCCCTCCGGCCGAGCGTCGCGGCTCCGCCCCAGCCAGAGGCCCCCGAGGACACCTTCCCCCGGACGAGGCCAGCGGCGCAGCAGGGGGCGCAGCAGCCGTGGAGCTGGGGGCCCGGCCCGACCAGCCTGCAACCCACGCGCCCCGCCGAAGCAGGCAGCACGGCCGCACCGTCGCCCACCAAGGCAGGAGGCCCGTGTTGGGAACGGAGAGCTGGAGGTTGATTGCTCACCCGACGCCGAGACCAAAGGACAGTACCCCCAGGCAAGCCCCAGCAAGAAGTACCATCCAGACGACCACGCCCAGGCAACGGCCAGCAGTACCGACCCAGAGCATGCCCAACACTCAAATATCCAGCCTCCACAGCACGAAGAGGCCGCGGATGATAGGGCCACATGTGAGGCGGAGGCTAACGCGCCCAGCCTCAGCGACCACAGCACCAGCAGCGCATTGGCAGAACAGGCTGCAGAAGCCGAGGCTGCTGACGGGCGTGCACGCAAGACGCCGAGGACGGCCAAGCAAAGATACAATCGCCAACCCCACCAAACAAGGACGGAACACGCCAACCCCTGGGCCGGCTATCAAGGGGGAGGAGGGTCCTCATCAACCGCGCGCCCAGGTCGCGGCAACTCAGAAGCGCCCGATTGGCACAGAGCCCCGCGGCCCAATCCTGGCTATACCCGCCGCGACAACCCCCACGACGCGCTAAACATCCGGCCCCGTCGGATTATCAACTGGTACCGAACGTGGAATCACAGGTCCGACGCCCGTGAGACCTGGCCTGAGGTCGTTAATGAGCTAAAGGACTGCGGGGCCTTCTTCGTCGAAGGCTGGAACGCTCACTGCGACGCCACGAACAACCAGACCCCAGGTAGAGGGACCTACAACCCAGACCAGCATGACGCCTTCTGCGAGGACCTGGTGAACCAGCTGTATAATGAGTACTTCGGCATCCGCAGGGTCTGTAGAATACGGGGAGTCCATGTGGACTGGGACGCCGTCTGGGGCCGCCAGTTGCGGCGCAACGAGCAGGAGCGAGACAAGGGCAAGGGCAAAGGGAAGGGTCACGACACAGTTGGGGAAGACAAAAGGCGCGCGGACCCCACCTGGCCCAACAACGACCAGTCGAGCGAGGCAGCGCCGTCCCAACACGGCAGGCATGCCAGGCATCTGAGAACCTTGCTCCAAGGCCAGACCGAAGCACCTAGCTGGTCCCCCAGACGGCAGCCCCTCCAGGCGGGAACCTGATACTATGGCGCCACTGTTCAGCCCCAAACCCCCTGGCCATTGCGCAGACAACGGTCCCCCCCACGCCGCCCTCGTCCAGCCGGCAGTGCACTCAGGACCATGCGAGGCGCCCAACCGCATCAGCGCAGCCCCCTTCATCGCCCTCTGAGTCACCCGACGGCCCTAGACGCCACGCGCCAACCACCCCGGCGGCGCGTGGGACCTTCCTTTCGCTGGTTCCTTTCGTATCTGTTTCCGCACCGATTAGGTGCCCTGGCAGCTGGCTGTCCACCCTGGCAGCGCGCGGCTCCCTTCGGCCTCGGCCGCTTCCATTAAACAACTTCCGCACCGATTGAGTGCCCCTAGTTTTGGCCCGCACTGTCCACCCCGGTAGCGCGCGGCCTCACGGCCTTGGCCACAGCTTTGTTCCAGGCGCGCCCGCTCCGCTGCCCCCTGCTGGGCAGCTCTGGGCGTGCTTCAGCTACCCGTGCCCGCCGACCGGGGCAGCGCGCGGACGTCCGCAGCAGCACCGTGCGCGGGCCGCCTGCCTACCGCCCGCCGGCGCTGGCGCCGCCGCTGCCGCCCCGCCTGCGGGGATCTCCCTACAGGTGGGGCGCTCCTCTTCCTCGTCCTCTTCCCTCCCTCGCCGTTCTCTTTCCCCCCCCTCCGTCCGCGCGCCGCCATGGCGCCTGCGAGGCTGCCGCAGCTTGCAGCCTCCCCACGTGGTTGGGCACCTGGGCTTGGTCTTGCCGCCGGCTCCCCTCCACGGGCCCAGCCTTTTGCTGGTTGCAGTCCAAGCCTAAACTGCTTGCGGACTTGCCGTACCTTGTCACGTGCCTCCCACCTAGGCGGCCTTGCGGCCCTCTTTCTGTTGTCCAAATACCTCGCTACTTCATCGGCAGCGTCACTGCAACGTGTTCTTGCTTTGCACGCACTGGGCCCCGCCATCGCCCGTGGGTGCCCCGGCGCCGCGGCCCGGCAGCTGCCTCGGATTCCGTTGGCGGGGCTGGCCGCAACAGCACACTCAGGTGAGAACTCTTCCACCTCTGAGTGGCCTTTTCTTCCGCTCCCCTCCGCGGCCGCCCCCTCTGCCCTCTTCCCGCTCTTGCACGCTGGCCAATTCGCTTCTCGGTGCCCCCGTTTAGCTCTATCGCTAGTACATCCACCTCTGCCTCGCCGCCAACGAAAAACGTGTGTTGGGTCCTCGTTTTGACTTCGCAGCGCCGCGCGTCTCCTTCTCCTCTTCTCCTCCCCCTCCTGTCCTCTACTCTTCCTCCACATCCTTGTCGTATCATCCTCATCGTCATCGTCAATATCACTGCCGCCTCATTTCGGCACACCGCTCACACGTTTCGTGGCCCCACAAGAAGCTCCACCGAAGGCGCCAGTGACTGGGTACACATGGTGACCCGCCTCAGTTCGGCACACCGCCCACATGTTTCGTGGACCCACAAGGAGCTGCACCGAAGGCGCTGGGTTCACATGGTGGCCTGCCCCACTTCGGCAGATCCTCCGACGGCTTCCGTGGCCAGGTTCACCTGGTGACCCGCTCAATTTTGGCAGTCCCCTCAGACGTTCCGTGGCCCCGCAGGGAGCTCCACCGAAGGCCCCAATGGCTGCGTCCGCATGGTGTTGGATCGCCCACGCCGCTTTGCCTTGCTTAGGGGTACTGCAATTCCGTAGTCTGTTCATGTACATTGAGCGGTCCTGCACATAGGCGCCGCGCGCTAACATAAGGTTGAGCTCTTCGCGAGGAAATCTGTTCGGAAGGCATATCTTTGGACGCCCGAAATGAGTACGGACAAACTTGTGGACGATGCCCAACAACATGTTTCTCACACCACCGACAACGGTCGCTGCTGGGCAAGCGGCCTTCCGTCAAGCGGACAACGCTCGCAGCAGCGCCAACAACGAACCTGGTTCAAATGGACGACAACTGCTGCCAATCTTCGTGCCCATTCTTTCCGTACCCATGTCGACCGCTCTGAGTAGCGCAGAATTCAATGACTCCACACGTCATCGCTGCAGGCGGGGTGCCCTGGCAACTCCACGGTGACGCCAGAGAGGCAACGGAGAAGAATCAATTCCTCCCATGTACGCGCTTTTGCGAACCGTTGTAGCCAGCCTTGGGCGGAGGAGGGAGAGGAGGAGGAGGAGGAGGAGGAGGAGGAGGAGGAGGAGGAGGAGGAGGAGGAGGAGGAGGAGGAGGAGGAGGAGGAGGAGGAGGAGGAGGAGGAGGAGGAGGAGGAGGAGGAGGAGGAGGAGGAGAGAGGAGGAGGAGGGAGGAGGAGGAGGAGGAGGAGGAGGAAGGAGGAGGAGGAGGAGGAGGAGGAGGAGGAGGAGGAGGCGGAGGGGAGGAGGAGGAGGAGGAGGAAGGAGGAGGAGGAGGAGGAGGAGGAGGAAGAAGCGGCCTTCTCGAAATACTCCGCCGCCTTTGCCGGGTCCTGCTCCACGCCCTTCCCGCTCTGCAGCATCATGGCGTAGTTGTACTGCGCCTCGCACGGCGCTCCAGCACTTTGCAAAGCAGGCGTGCGCGGAGCATAGCCCTCCTCATCACCAGATGCCATGGAGGCGAAGGCGACGACAACCTATATCGCACTCCTCCCATGCATCTACGACGTCCCCCTCCAAAAGTCCTTTGTAGCTCCATCTGTGAGAGCGATGGCCAAATCCACTCTGCTTCTTCCGAGCTGCGCCAAGATAAATGCTCGCGAGCGCCAAGTCCCCAGGGACCTGCTCACGCAATCGGTTCTTCACCCCACATGACATGGGGAGAGTATCATATCCGTAACCGATTGGACCCTCAGCCGAGAACTTCGCAGCGGTAGCTGGCAGACATCTCCTCTTGCCCGAGATGTCTCCTCTCGCCCAAAGAGCTGGACTTTCCAAGGAATTTCCAGAGCTGGGCCGGGCTGTACGCTGCTGGTGGCGACGCATCGGCCTCGCCCCGTATCCGGCTTGTGGTGCCTTTCCTTCCTCGCTCGCTCCTTCGATGCCTGCAAAACTTGTCGACCATTATCGCCTCATGACGTCCGTCTTGGCCCCGCGCTCGCAACCACACGCTGCTCATTCTCCATTACCTTCGCTCTGGTACCCCTGCCCCATCTCACCAGCGGCTCGCCTTACTTCTGCCATTGTCAGCAGACTTGCCGTACCACTTGGCTGCCTGAAAGACAGACAGTCAAAATCGAGACAACAATGACACATTTTAAACCATTGCTGGAGTGCCGTCCGATAGCAGAAGACGGCACGCCGAACGGGTCCCGTTCGGGAATGGGGGCGGGTTCGGCCAGATTGGATGCACAGTCCAGCAATGAGGACTCATGACGTCGCGAGAAAGTGCCTCCGACTGTGTACGGCACGGCCCATAATGAAACCGTAAGATGAACATACATGATCTGTGGGTAATGGACTTCTACATGATTTGATCTGACTCTGCTCCGAGCGAGCTTCCTGCCGTGAACGCTGGCAGCACGACGTGCGCCAGGAGTGCAGCGGCGCGCTCAGAGCGAGGTCAGGATCCTGTGCTCGGCGTGCCGCGGCGGCGGCCCCAGCGACACGTTATGCCCTGCCCGCGGATAGCATGTCGCTCCGCTCCGCGGGGCGGGAGGCTCGGAAAAGCTCGGGACGTTGACGGTCGGAGACTGGGGTGCGGTTAGCGTGTCGCGCCGAGCCGCGGGGGGCCTGAACTGGCGGCGCCACACGCTAAGCCTGCCAAAGTTCCCGACCGCAGACTTCCTGACAGCAAAGCCGGCAACGACGCTGGCAGCGCGAGGTGCTCCAGAAATGAGAGCATGCCCGGTCGAGGTGAGAGATTCCTGCCGACAGCCCTGTCAGCGCGGCGCGCGCTGGCCGCAAGCCGTCACGTTCGGAACGGCCTTCCTGATAGTGACGCGCGCCGTGAGCGAGCCGGCAGGTTCGAAACTTCCTGCCAACGACGCTGGTAGAGCAATGAGCGCCGGCGGCGACGCTGGCGGTACAGCCTGCGCTGAGCACGCTCGGGCTTAGCTGCATGCCGACGTGTGCGCTGGACGCGAAGCGCCGCGCTCGGGGCGGGCATCCTGACAGCAGGGCGGGCAGCATCGCCACCAGCGTGAGAAGGCGAGCTGCCGCGCGCTGAGTGAGCGCCCCGGCAACAACACTGCCGGCAGTGCTGGCGTCGCGACGTGCGCCACACGCGAGCCTGGACGCTCGGAGCGATAGTCCTGCTCGCAGCACGGGCAGCGTGATAAGCCCGAGACGCGAGTCGGCACGCTCGGAAGGAACGTCCTGCTGGCAACGCTAGCGGCGCGAGGTGTGCCGGACGCAAGCCAGCACGCTCGGAGTCGGCTTTGCAGCAAGAGCGTCGGGGACGCGGTGCGCGCTAGACGTGAGCCGGCGCGCTTGGAATGAACTTCCTGGCGAGTTCGCTTTGAACCTCACCACGCCACACGCGCGCCAACACGATCGCAGCTTCCCGGCCAAGAGCTCTCAGAAGCGGCTGCAAGCCGCAAGCTCGAAGCGAGCTTCCTGCCGGCAGCACTGGCGCGCGAGGTGCGCCAGACGCGAGCAAGCGCCGGACGCGAGCAAGCACGCTCGGAGTCAGCTCTCTGCTGACAGCTTAGGCAGCTCCAGATGCACCAGAAGCAAGCCAACACTCTCGCGAGGCTCACGGGATGGGTGCAAGAGGGACACCGGCCCAGGGCACCTGTACTGAGCGAGCTAATAACAAGAACCATCTAGGAAAGTCTAGTCAGGAAGCGTAGGGGGGGAAGGACTGCACACAAGCCAAACTGTCTGCCCAACCACGACCACGAAGCACCGCGACTTGAGGCATGCGATCAAGTGCGGAGGCTTTTTCGTCAGCGGCGGGGCAGCGAACTCCGCTCCAACGAGAAGCTAGAAAGGGACACTAACTAGCGAATTGGCCGGCGGGCAAAGAGGTGGGGGGGACGGCCGTCAAGTGCGCACGCGCGTGGACCGCAAAACCTGGTCCGGCACAGAAACGGAAAGAGCGCTTCAGAAACAGAAACCGAAATTACTCACACCACCGTTCGTACTGGGAGCCTTGGCGTTGAGAGCTTGTTACGTCACCCCTCGCTCTTGGGAGCCTTGGTGTTCAGAGATTGTTGCGTTGCCGCCCGTTCCTGAGCCTTGGCTGGGCCTTGGTGTCAGGAACTTGTTACGTCACCGCTCTCTGCTGGGAGCCTTGGTCTTATCAGCTTGTTTACGTCACCGTTCGCTCTTGGGAGCCTTGGTGTGAAGAGCTTTTTGCGTTACCGATCGCTCTCTATTTGGCGTCTCTGGGCCTTCTTGGGAGTCCTATTGACCCCTTGTCGGGCCCTTTTGGAGGCCTCTTGGGAACCTCTTGGGGGCCTCTTGGGGCTTCTTGGGGGGCTCTGGGGGCCTCCTGGGAGCTTCTTGGAGCGAAAGGCTAGCCTTTTCGGTTCGTGGTCCCCCTCTTGGGGCAGTCTTGGGGCCCTCTTGGGCCGTTTTGGGGGCGTCTTGGGAGCCTCTTGGGCCGTCTTGGGGCGGTCTTGTGGGCCTCTTGGAGCGTCTTCAACGCAGCTAAAGCCGAACAGCCTTGTATGCTAAAAATGTACCTTTTTCCATAGGAAATCAATGATTTTCGCCTCCCGGTGGCCTCTTGGGACGCCTCTTGGAGGCCTCTTGGGGCTTCTTGGGGGGCTCTGGGGGCCTCCTGGGAGCGTCTTGGGGCGAAAGGCTAGACTTTTCGGTTCGTGGTCCCCCTCTTGGGGCCGTCTTGGCGCCCTCTTGGGCCGTCTTGAGCGCCTCTTGGGCCGTCTTGGGGCCCTCTTGCGTTGTTTTGGGGGCCTCTTGGGAGCCTCTTGGGCCGTCTTGGGGCGGTCTTGGGGGCCTCTTGGGCCGTCGTCAACGCCGTGAAAGCCGACAAAGCGCATATGCTAAAAATATACGTTTTCCTATGGAAAATCGATGACTTCGGCCTCTTGGGGCCCTCTTGGGTTGTTTTGGGGGCCTCTTGGGAGCCTCTTGGGCCGTCTTGGGGCGGTCTTGGGGGCCTCTTGGGCCGTCGTCAACGCCGTGAAAGCCGACAGAGCGCATATGCTAAAAATATACGTTTTCCGATGGGAAATCGATGATTTCGGCCTCGTGGGGCCCTCGTGGGACGCCCCTTGGGCGCCTCTTGGGGGCCTCTTGGGCAGTCTTGGGCTCTCTTGGAGCGCTCTTGGGCCGTCTTGGGGGGGAACCAGAAAAAACATGCAAAAACCAGAGGGAAAACCCGAAAACGGCCATTAACACGCAAATGTGCGCGCTACCCCCCTCCCCTGGAACCCCTCCGCTCTTTTCGTTAACCAAGGCGACATTTTTTTGGGCGCAGCGGCGAATCCCAGCCGCGTTAAATGGTAGACCTGGGATGCACGTGGCTGACTCGGGCAAGGCGGGCGGCGGGAGGAGGAGGAGCGCGCGGGGGGAGGGAGGAACACGCTCAGAACATGGACAAGAAGGACACATGCGGTGACGTGGTTGGGCAATCGGGTCTGGGGCCCTCCTGCAAGGTGGGGGGAAGCGGAGGGAGGCGGGAGGGGGAATCAGAGAGAAAGAGAGAGAGAGAGAGAGAGAGAGAAAAGGACAGCAGGGCGGCGAGGGGCAAGATGAGGAAGATGACGACGAGAGACAGGAGGAGGAGGAGGATAGCACGGAGGACGAGGAGGCCTTGGAGGAAGACAGCGTCGAAAACCAGGACACAGTGGATGGTGAGGGGGACGGCGGGCAGGAGAAGGATGAAAGCACGAGGAAGAGGAGGACGAGAGCACTACTTCAACGCACAAGTATCCCCAACCCACGATTTGATCCCAGGAATGCCGCACAAGTACGTGGCCAAGTGACACGCCACAGACAAGACGAGGTCAAGAACGAGGAGCTAGTTGGGCGACAAGTTCGTCTACATGTCATTTCGGCTTGGCCATGAATGCTTACGAGTCTCGGCACGAGAGGGATGGGCATACACCGCACGACCGAGCCACATCACCATCGCATACCTACCCGACACCAGCAATACACACGCACACACTTTCAGCTGTTGCATCAGCGGCTCAACGACACACTACAATACTGGAAACATATGCACTACCTCGGCAGCATCGCAAATGACTGGACACTGCGACCATGCGACATTCCTTACTACAGGTCACTGCAAAGACGACGCGACGGTCAGCCTTGCGTGCAAGGACAAGAAGTACACGATAACGACATGCATCACTAGACCATTATAGCAATATCATGGCCCGAGCTGGCTGCAGACATTGCAGAAGAACGGGTACGACTCAAGTACGCCTACTACAATACCAGCGGCACTGAATGAGACTTCGTGGAGACCCTCCACAATATCTGCAACCAACAGATCAAGAAGCGGTACGATCGCCATTGACGAGAACAAGCATATACACACAAAAAATGAGACGCACCTGACAACAGTTTCATCTGCCCAATAGCCAAGAGCATCAACAATATCGGCACTGGTTCGGCGCTGCTCTCACTGACCACCTTACAAGCAGACTCACTCCACACCTCTGGACCAGCAACACTTCACCCATCCTGGGCCACTTTGATCATTGACTAGACGCATCGACACATCACACCACCGTCAACTCACGCGCAGCCTCAGTACGTCGAGGTACACACGACTCCCGATTACATCATGCAGCAGCTCAGCCGATGGAGAGGCACAGTAAGACAGCCTCCCCCCACCGACGTAACCTAACATTCCACCGACCCAGTTCGAGCTACCCGCACCAATTCCAGCCAATCCAAACTGACCACCCACGAATGGGTCACTCGAGCCCACGACAGTTCAAATCATATATCCCCTAGCACTTTGCAGTCCGAGTCATACCATCGATGCACTCGATCAGACCAACGATTGCGTTGCACACGCCGAACCCTATGGGCGACACCTTCACCTGTAAGACACCTGAAATGTTCAGAGGCTTGAAGACTGACATGGGCGAGGATCACACCTACTACCACGACATGCAAGTCCTACTGCATAAACTACGCGAAGCAGAGCAGACAGAGTGTGAACACCAGGATATGACTCGCAAGCGCTGCACGGGGCACATCCCCCAACAGCACCTGGCTGCATACTCCCATACATCGACTTCCGACCACAACGACGCAACCCACACCAACACTCAGCACCCAAGGCAGCCACCGCAACCCCCACCGCTCCAGCCCCAAAATCCCGCACCATAACCCACGCCAGATGTAGACAACAACGACGCTTCCGACGCCCCAAGACGGCCCACGAAGCTCCGCAGACCGCCCCCAAAATGCCCAAGAGGCCCCTACGAGGGCACCCAGACGGCCTAAGAGGGTTCCAAGACGGCCCAAACAGGGGCCCGAGACTGTCAAAGATCGCCCCAAGAGGGCCCCACGAGAGGCAAAGAGGGAAAGCACGAACCGAAAATCCGACTTTTCCGCCCCAAGAGGCCCCCCAAAGGCCCCAAGAAGCCCACGAGCGACCCAGAAGAGGCCCCCAAAAGGCCCCCAACTGGCCCCCAAGACACTTCAAAACTGCCTCAAAGAGGCCCCGCTATGCTCCCAAACAGCTCACAAGACGCCCACGAGAATCCCCCGATAGTGCCCAAGAGACCGACGACGCCTCAACCGTGGATTCCCCGCCTCCTCTGGGGGTCGTCAGTCGTCGGAATGGCGTAGCCTCCGGAATAGATAGCAAAGATCCTTGGCACTACGACTACTACTGCAGCTCAGAGGTTCCACCGTATACTCTCAAGTTCCTGCCATCACACCCACAACATGACCTACACTGTCCGCCGGTGTGGACAACATGCGACGCCGACGCCGAAGACGAATTTGAAGGGGTAGCCTACCACAGCGAACGACCGATTTTTTGACGTCAGCGGCGATGCAAAAGTGCTGCTCCAGCGGGCGGCGATCGGGGCGACCGATACGCGAATTGGCTGGCGTGCCAGAGGGGGTAGAAGGGGGGACGGGGCGGCCGCGAAGGACAGAGGGCACTCAGACGCGGAAGACTTCCAAGCTGAGCGCGCCGGCGCGGACAGCAGCGGCAGCGGGCCCGCGGCAGCAGCCTGGCCGAGGCGTCGGTGCACCCACGGGCGCTGCCCATGCTCAGTACGAGGTGGAGCACGTACACGCACCGATTCCTCGACGACCACCTCATCGACAAGTGGCACAGACACCTCGACAAATTCAACACCAACTGCTTGGCCAACGTTGCCTACCCATATGCGGTCCCGCATCCACCGTTACGGCCAGTCCAGCGCGGGGCTTCGCATTAACACTTCAAGGAACCCACAGCTAAACCTAAACAGCGACTCGTGCTCAATCAAGCGACGAACGCACACCACGAGTTACCACCACCACGGCCGCCACACGACTCAAGGACCATACTAATACTCAATGGTACACTGGAATACATGCAGAACAAATACGACGACGACCGCGATTTACACATCGATGTAGCACTGGCCACACAATACATCCACGACATGATCAAACGACCCGACGCAGATCCTACCAACGCTAGCGTGACAACGGCACTTAGAAAGGTATTGCAACGGCTCTGCACGATCCTGGGATGCAAGTGGTCAGAGGACCTTCCAAGGACAGCAGCGGTACTGGACAAGATCAGCTGCCCAAACGTGTCATCAACACAGTACACACCACACCAGACAACACTAGCAGCTCCTCTCTCTCAAGCACAACTGACAGCAGCATGAGCCCTCCGACACCAGCAATCCAAGGACAATACCACACGGACAAACCAGCCCCACCAGCAGAATAGACGTCGTACCACACGCCAGGAGACAGTACAACGCAAACCACAGAGAAGTCCAGCACCACAGAATACCCAGCAGACGAAATTCAACAGCAATCACTGCCACCACCAAAGCTCAACATACCTGTCGTCTGCCCACCGCAAGGCACTTCGACGGCCAAGTACGGATGGCTAGCGGACGTCCACCGACACAACGTACACGGCAGACGCAAACAACCATTACGGCATACTTTCCATCCGAACCTCCACCACTCATGGAAGACTGCCAAAGGGGATCGACTCCAACACTGGCAAACGACCATCTACTACACAACGTTACCACTACGACGAGCCAACTTTGACATAATACCTCAACAGAGTACGAGAACACCAGCAGCAATACACATAGTACTTAGTAGACGTACACAAACACATTGAAGACAAATGCTTACGTGCACCACGCAAAACGCCACCAACCGACAAATCACAATACCCGTCCTTACCCTGGGGTACTGGCAACACGGACAGCGCTTGACCGCTACATCCACATCTGGTACAGACGGCCTCATACCTCCATGGGAGCCCTGCAGGGCATACCCAGCGCAGAGGCACAACTACTACATTTGCCACAAGAAACAGACCTATTGAGCCTGCCGCCACCTCTTTTACCCATACCTGCATGTCACTTTACCTGGGCGAGGAAGCTGTTGTGGAAGCTTAGTGGAGGAAGGGGTTCGGCACTGCCGGCATCACAATTTGCGTCCTCCAATGCACGGGTCTCTGTGCACGAGCTATCCCCATACCCTAGGGACCCCATGCCATCCATGATTTCACCTTCCAACGTCGCGCGCTACACACACCCATCAGATACTTGTCGACGCTTGCTTGCACCGTGGCGCGCAACCTACAGCCAGCTTGCTTTCTCTGCTGGAGCAGCGGAGTGGGGGTTGGGACTCGCAATTGGCATACCAGCACTCTCAGTGCGGCCACAGAGCGCAAGACAAAGTACATCGCCCGATGCACGCTCGTACACGTAGGTCAGGGTGGGTCGCCCGTTACATGCTTAACAGAAGCTCCTATCTCGACCCAATCTGCCCTGTACGTTCGATTCTCACATCCTGTCCAAGAGTACAGGCCAACCGCTATTTGTGCTAGCCTACAGCTCACTCCGCAACCTGCACCCATATAGTGTGCCTAGCGTCATTCTCTTGAGCCTTACTCAAGGCTATCCGTGGTGCTCCCCTAGGGTCGAACGTACTACCCATCCATCTACCTCTACTCATCCTCAAATTAAATTTAGTGGGGCGGAGGAGGAAGAGCTACTTCAGAAATCGACAGTGTGCTCCCCACGAGCCGAGCATGCTGCATCATTCTCTAATAGTTGCCCCGTTCTGGCAGCTTTCGCACAACCACGTCCAGTTTTCTTTGAAAGTGAGGGTGGGCGGTAGCAGGGTTGGGGTGGGGGTGGATGAACACGAACGTCCGTCGCCCAGGCAAGCCAATATCGTCTGCGCCAGCCTTCTCTACCGCTACGCTTCAATGGTTATCAATACATAAGCCAATTCAAACCATATCCAAACTAGCCTGCACTGCGCCAGCCTAGAGCAGACACGATACGGCTTGCATCCTCACTTTCAAGCATGCTCTACTGCCAACAGGCCAGCCTCACTCACCATTGGGAGGGGGTCTGTGGACGGGTTGCTGGGTTGAGGAAGAGGCGTAAGAAGGGAATACTGCTGTTTGAATGCCCGGTTGCCAGTCAGCCTTTACTCCAGTACCTTACCTGCGGCTCGCTGTTCTAGGTCACTTTGGCCCGTCGGTAGGGGATGCGCGCCCAAGTAGGGCCAATCCCAGTGTGGCCTACCGACATTAGCCTTTTGCACTAGGATGCCAGAACAGAACAACCCACTCAGATCTCCCCAGCGTCACGGGCCAACCCTCACAATATGAGCTGGCCTTCAGGCTGAACCGTAATACTTTGCGTGCTTGACTTGGGGGTGGATGTGGAGGTTCAGACTTGGGGGGGGAGGGATTTAGACACTACACCTGCATCATTCATGCTTAGCTGCTGCCTGACTACCCCAGTAGTGCATGTCAGCTTCTGGGAATCCACTGTCCAAGACTAGCAGTCCAACCTGCACGTGGTTTCCCGGGCTCTCCGTCGTTCGGTTCCTCTTTCGATCTAGGAACTACTTCGGTTACTTCATCTTCGTGTTGGCTTCCCCATGCTCATACCGCGAGGCAAGCATATACTCAGAGTTATTAGGCTTCACTCGTTAGGACGAGGAGGAAGAGCAGCCATGGAGCACGATCATGTCCGCGGCAAGCATGGAAAGATGAATTGCGAAGGACAGAAGCAGACTGCAGAAGCAGTATGAACGCCATGTGCGATACTCAAGGGCTCAAGGGAGTTCAAGCATGAAGACTGCCATGGTGCTCTCGCTATCTGCCTGGGGGCACTGCCGAACTTCTGCTATCTCCCCGCCGCTTCTCGCGGCTCCGTGAGGAAGATTCCTCTGCTACGCGTGCTAGCAAATCCCCTTCCTTGCCGTTCTCTCTCCTCTCACCTCTGGCCGCTAGCATTCCCTGCAGTGCAAGTGCTAGGATGGCAGCCTTCTCTATGTCCTTCTTGCAACCTTCTCCCTCATAATACATGTCCTGAGCCGGGGCCGCCTCCTTCTACGACCACTCCCCCTGCCACCATCATGCCTTCGGATCCGAATCGCCCTTCTCGCGCTCTCCGCGTGAGGTGCATGCGATACGAACCTGCGTGATTGACCGATCACAATGGGCTCTCGCCAAACCGCACGCCCCGCTTTTGCACGTGATCGCAAACGCTCGATGTCCACTTCCGTCCATACCAATGAAACCTCGCAACTTGCAGTACCTGCTGATCTATTGCCACTGCGTGTGCCTTTACTTTTGGGTTTGCTCCTGCATGTGTTGCTGTCTCTATCATGCTCTCGGTGAGCCTGCGCACAGCATCAAATCGCATCTGGCTCGCTGATGGGGGAAAGCTGACTCAGGTAGCCCTGCGACATCCACTTTCTCCTGCTGCATGTGATCTTACTCTGCAACACCCTGATGGCCATTGCGCCTACGCTAATTGTAACATCAGCTGGTCGGTCCCATCTAAAACCTGCTGCGTGAATCGTCGCCTACAATGGACGGGTCACCACTTCAAGGGGAAGCGGGGGCTGAGGTTCGAATATCGGTGCTGGCAGGCTGCTTTATCTGGCCGAGAGTGCTTAACACCACAATGTGGGTGGCTGGAGAAGCTTTCGCAAGAGAGGAGGTCCCCGAGCATAAGTTGGGCTTCTGCGTCGCCTTTCACCGCAGCTTGTGCGTACCAATACAGCGACTCTTCCTTGTCCTGGCGTGCGTCGGGATCAATGTATATGGGTGGGTATCGGCATTCCACTCCATCAACGCTCTCGTACCCTACTCCTCCATCTCCCCGTCCTCCCCTTCTCTTTCTCCCTGTGTGGCAGTTGTTTTCCCCACAATCAATCCGCCACCATGTCGCGAGGCATGTAATAATGTCCGCAGGCCCCCGAGGGTATTCAGCATTTACTGTGGCAGACGGGCGACCCTGTCGTAGGCACTGCGTGGGATGTCCTCAATCCTACATGCTCGTCAATGTTCTAGGCCACCCAATTTCACACAGCGTGCCCCGCGATGCGCGACGCGCCGTCACCTCCGCGCCTTCGCGAGGCCCCCCTAGAGACGGGCAGCCTCTCCAGCCCCAGCCGCGATGCGCGGAACAATACGATCTTCGCGCCCCCGCGGGTGACCTAATGTGCTGTCAATGCTCTGCTCGGGCCCCAGACCCCCAACCCACAGACTTACAAAACCCTCCCGAAACCCTGGAACAACTCTGGGGGGCCCTGGCTCCCGTCATGCCACACGCTTCCTTTGTGCGTTGGGTTTCTCCAGATGCAGTTTTTGGAGGCGAGGGGGGGGGACACTGAGGGGAATGACAGTGCAACAACACCTGGCAGTGCAGCGGAGGGGGGCAAATGAACGATTCCACCATGCCACAGGATGGCTCCAGAGGCCTGTCCTGGAGCCGTCTTCGGGTAGTCCAGCGTCCTTGCAATACTTGTAAGTAACTCATGTGTGATGTCTCGGCGAAGCTTCTGCGTAATACTAGGATCTTTGCAGTTTCGGCCCAGAGCGTCCAAGGCGGCCCAGGCGGGCCCCGCCACTGACCGAAGCAAGAATGTCCCGAGGCTTCCAAGAAAAGCTTAACATGCCGCCAAAGCGGCCCCCCCAAAATGGCCATAAACACCGCCACCGCGAGACCGCTGGACCCCCCTTCAATATGGGTCCGCGACCCCGCAAAGGCCCCCAAGAAACCACGGAGAAAATTCCACGATGCCTCCAACCGCTCCCAAGAGGTTACCGTGGGGCTCCGAAGAACCGAACTTAGGCTTCAAACTAGAGACTGGCCCACATACTTCGAAGCCGCGGTGCTCCTCAACCCCATTCCCTCTGCGCCTCGCGCCAACAGCCTAGGCGCAGTGGCGGGATGGGCCGATGGCCGCTACATTTTTGCCAGTCTCCACGTGGGAGGAGAAGGCCGAGGTGGTGATAAGTCTCCGCGACCACCTATCACTCACCACGCAACGTAAGCTGGGCCCCTTGCGCCCAAGTCGCAAATCATACATGGTATCGCGTCGACGGCCGTTTGCTCTCAGCTCCACCCACCTGCCGTTCACGTGCTTCTTCAAATTCATAGTCGACGATGCGACAGGGAGCTCTGCCAATCATCACTCAAGCTTGAACCCTCCTACGAGAATTTACCGATGATGATGATGCTGATGATGATGCTAATGATGGTAATGATGATGATGCTGATGATCATGATGATGCTGCTGCTGCTGATGATGATGATGGCGATGGTGATGATGATGATGCTGATGGTGTTGATGGTGAGGAAGGAAGACATTAACAAATCACGTATACATCCAGAGCCGAGGCGGCCCAGTCTCCACCGCGAAGGGATATGTGCCGCAGGCCAGGAGGTCGCTGAAGCATATCGTGGGGCATATGACCACGAGATATTCTTGAGTAGAAAGTTCTGTGAATTATCTCTCAAGCTTGCACTCCAATGATAACCCACCGAAGATGATGATGCTGCTGCTGCTGATGATAATAAGGATGATGATGATGATGATGATGATGATGATGATGATGATGATGATGATGATGATGATGATGATGATGATAATGATGATGATGCCTGGAACTGATGTCCGTTCGCTTCATGATTGCCCCGAGGCCCGTCATGGGGCATTCTTGGTTGCATGATAAGCAGCCCCTAACCCAAAAAAACGATTGGCCGTGTCAGCATCGACTGACAACTCTCTGCCGCTACATGGTTAATGATGAGCCACATCTACATCGCAGAGCGTTTACTCTTTTTTTGGGGGGTGGGGGGTGGGTGGGGGGAGCTGGGAATGCGCATGCTAATCCTTGGCAAACACCTTGCTCCGATTTGTGGCAGCTGCGATCGCCGCGGCGCCCTCGGTAACCGATCCGGAGGTCTGGTTCGGGGTCGGGACTTCCCGTCGGCAGTTTTGGGAACTGCGAGGGTTGTCCCAAGCAGCCCGAATCGCCTCAGCCCTGAGGTCTCTGTGCGACATCACCATTCTCGCTTGTCGGTATCAAGCGCGTCCAAGACGGCCAGAGATGTTCCCAGGGTCGCCCCAAGAGGCGCCCAAGAGAGCCACGCGAGGGGCTCCCTCCGCAACCACCAAGCATGTCCAGGCGCCAACACACACCCACACCCTCGGAGCATGTGGAGCAGCAGCGCGAAGGTGGCGAGCAGCTTTTCGGCGCCATCCTGGGACGGGCGCGGGGGTTGCTAAGGCGATGGGGCATGTATCAATGGATTCCAAGGTGGGTTATATCTGGCGTAACCTAACTTAGAAGTGGAGTCGCTTATGGGGGTGAGACAACTGCGCTGAGTGGACTGGGCCCACTTAGCCCGGATCGTTCGCCCCCTAAGCCACTTAGGCAATTTGTAACCCTCTTACTAGCTAGGTTAAGGCAGATACAGCCTACCTTGGCATCCATTGATCATCCACCCATCTCCTTAGCAACCCCTGCGTCCATCCTGGTCGAACAGCCAGACGCGCCCCTGGCAGCGCGCCGCCCCGCGACGGCTCGGCTGGCCAGCTCCGCCGCTAGCCAGGCCGCGGCCTCTGCTGCCTCGTCGTCGCGCACGGAGTTGGGGCGCTGCCGAACGATGGCCCAGTGGAACGCCACGCTCAGCTCGGTGCCCCAGTGCTGAGTTAGCGCGCTCGCTGCCGCTTCCGCTGCTCAAGACCGCGAGTCACGCTTCTGCTGCCGATCGTCCACTTCGGGGACGTCCAAGAGTGGGGCGTCCAAGAGGGGGGTTCGCAACTCATGGCCCGAGGAATGTGCGCGGTCAAGGGGGGGGCCAGGGGACGTATTGAAATGAGAAAAGACGCCATGAACTATGGGGAGATGTCATGGCCCCCGCCATGATACCCCCCCCAATCATCACCCCTCTCTTGGCCGCCCCCACCCGTTTGCCGGCAGGTTCCAACTCACCGAGACACAAATTAGCGCATCCATCTCACGCAACACCCTCATCACTGGCGAAGCCTGGTTATGGTGTCGTAGTTTCCCCTGCCGTTTGCGCACCCTCACTCAGTTTCGGGCCTTCTGGCTCCGAGGCGTCATGTGAGGTAGGATTACGTTCCACAGCCTTGACGTCTGTCATAGGCTCGGATGGTGGATCTGCACCTTCTTGCATGGCCGGCATCCAGAGCTCTGGGGCGTTGTGGTGCCCGCGCGAGATCCTCGGTGCCGAGCAACGTGCACTCCAAGACTGCTGCACAAGGTGTGAGGCAAGATGCGTGAAGCGGCTGCCTCGCCCCTGCCTCGTGCAGTCGACCCATCTCGACAGAAGCTGTGCTTCCCCCTCTTGCTTACGTATCCACTATGCGCCATCGCCGCCGACAGCTCTCAGGAAAGCTTCTCA